TCAGATTCTATTTTCTAAAAGGGGCATTCAAGTGGAAGAGCTTTGCCTTTCACTCCAGTGAATGAAGATAGATACCTACTAGTTGACATTGAAGACGAGTCATTTATCTCATCTCACCAAATGGACATATGGGATGAGAGATAAACCCTCATCTATTTAACATTTTTTCCAAGGGAGATTATAGAGGTAAGTCTCCTGTAAAATTCAAGGTTTTTCTTGATTCTTTTAAAGGAAAAAATGACCTAATGCACATGTTGACTATTTTAAATTCACTATTTCATTACTTAATATTAATGATGTTTTGAAATGCTAGTTGTGCTTTATGACTTTATAGGCGTTGCCTCTCATGTTTTGAATTGCTACTCGGAATGATTACCTTGCTTTCTGAGCTCAAGAAAATATTCTTCATACAATTTGTCAATGCTCAATTAACTTTGAAGAAGTTTTAGGTCTTAGTGAAGATAAGACAAGTGCCGGGCATGCCACTTTGGAATTTCATAATAAAGTTTTAATGGGAAATGCTTGAGGTGAAAGTTTTGGTACTGAATATTGCTCAAATTGTATTAACTCAATGTGTTAGAGAAAATCTTTTTCACTAAATGTTAGGTCTGCAGTAGCAAAAACTTTGGTCGAATTGCTGGTACTTGCCAACAATCATGCCAATGCTAAATCGTATAACTATGAATCGGTTGCTTCTACTTCAAGTCAACTAAAGAGTTTTGATTGTATAGTGAAATTCTAGTGCTTTCCCAATGATTAGCGAAGTCATTTAAGATTTCGGAGGGTGGAGGAGAATCCATAATAATACATCCAACATCTTCACTTGGAGAGGCGAGTTAAAAAAAAGAATTGAGTGGAGGATGGACGTGGGAAAAGTCATCACAATTTGCTTACCACTACTTCATTACCATATTGTTGAATGTTTCAATAGCTAACTAGCCATCTAGAAGAAAAATGATTATTTCAGGCGATTAGCCTTCATGAAGTTTGTTGATCCTCATTGGATTGCTCAGAATACTATGTTTTTCACAAAGATTGTGGGCATGATATTAAGAGGACAACCAACATCATTACTTGGTTGGTGAACTTATTAAAGTAGGAAAATTAAGGAATGCGATCTTTTAGATATGGGGAGAAAGTAAAAGAGCCAATGGAAGAGCCACCAAGGAATAAAGATGTGCCAACACTTGAGTAAACCTTAAAAGGCTTTTGATCGAGTGAGGTAAACTCTTCTACCATATCAAGAGCCTAGTTATAGAGGTGATGCCAGTTACATTTTTTATCACATTTTTTGAAGTGGATAAATCGATACATAGGAGCGCATATAATGCTTCTATTGTGGGCAGGATCTTAAATTAAATAATTAAATTAGTAGTATTCTCATTGACACGAGGAACTTGATAAACCTTATTTTCAAATGCATTTTTGAGAAATGAATATTAGTGGTTTTCATTTGTCATAAAATATTTAACTACTATTCGGCTTCTCTGGAGATGAAAAGTGTAAAGCATGATGGCATTGCCAATTACTTTGAGATAAAAATAAAAATAATTTGTTGTAATAGTTGATGCTTAAATTGACTTATAATGATGTTCTTTGGTTTACATGCAGTACAATTGTCTCTATATACTATGCCATAATAAAATTGTTTGTTGAAGGTCAAGTAGTTTTAGTGAAAGGGGACTTGCTATAGTTAAGCACATGTTATTGGAAGGCTATAAGAAATGTTCAAGATGAAGTTTAAAATTTCAAGATTCATTGTGGGCCAGGAATTTAGACTTCTGAGGCAATATAATTACTAATTATTAAAGATCAGAATCTAATCTTTTGAATTCACTCTTCTTTTGATGAAAAGTAGCATAAAGATGCCAAGGGTTGACATCATTGTAGTTTGCATAGTTGAATGTCTGAAAAAAAATGTTTTGCAAATTAATAAAAGATTTAGCTGATTATTGCAGCTGAACCAATTTGTGGTGAAGTTCAAATGCTCTTAGATACCGGATTTATCGTTGAAGTTTAGTATCCTAAGTGGATATCAAATATGGCAACGGTATAAAATTCAAATGGTAAATGGAGCACTACATATACAAATTGAAATTGAGCTATCCTAAAGGTAATTATCGACCTCCAAGAATTGATACTCTGGTTGATTATGCAATCGGCTTTCTAGTTAATGAGCTTTATTGATGAATTTCTTGTTACTTATAAATTAAAATGCATATTGCAGATTATGAGAAGACAGCATTCATTATAGGGGATTATTCATATTATTATTATGTGATGCCTTTTTGTTTAAAAAAGTATAGATGCAACTTATTAGAGAATGGTATATATTTTCAAAGAATGGAAGGAAGAAACACTGAAGTTCATATCATTGATTTAGTGTTGAAAAACTGAACTTTGAAACAACATATCATTGTCTAAATGAAGTATTTACTACTCTGAAATGTTATTATGATGAAACTAAGGATCTGTTTGGGGCAACTGCAGCTTAGATGTCCTAGGAAGCTACTGTAAAGAAGTTGGCTGGCTGTTTGTTTTTTGCTATTTGAAAACAACTATTTCTAAACAAATGACCATTCTGTCTCTATAGTAATGTTGTTTTTAACAGAATTTTTCTACTTATATATGTGATATTTCAAAAGCAAAAATTCACTTCAGAACGGTATAAAAATCTAGATAATCACCTCACGTAATAGTGGGTAAAAAGAAAAAAAATTATCAAAATTGCAATTAGTAATTTGACAATATTGATTTTATAATATAGTCGTCGCACGACACGAGCTATGCTGTCCTCCAGAGATGCTATCCTGTCCCGATAATTGTCGGCAATTGAATCTGCCGGAATGTCGTCTTACCGGAAGAACTCACATTTCTCTGGACAGTTTGCCCAGTGCAGACACCTGCCGAACTTTCTCCCGTAGCTATGCAGCTGACGTGACGTAAGATGGAAAGTTCAAAGTCTGCAGTAGCAATGCAATCGTCGAGAGGTCCCTGAAATTCTTGAGCTCATATTTTTTGAATGCTACAAAAGATAATTTATTAAGCATAACACAAGTTGAAATTGCTAGAAAAAGTAATAAATTATAGTTTTGAGCAGATGTGATGTGTTAGAGAACTCAGTATTCCAACCAATGAATCTGGCACTAAAAGAATACAACATACCTTGTAAAAAGGGGGTTCTCGGTTGCCTTTATGTCACGTAAAATCAAGCTCGTGTGTCACATATGCATATCACCAAAAAAGGTCATCCAGAAGATCCTCAAATACAATATCACAAAAAATAAGATAGGAACTTGGTTATCTTCATTAGGATTTCACATGTGACCAACCAACAACAACTAACAGGGCATCTAGAAGAACCCATAAAGTTAGAAGTCTCATCATGGACCTCTAAAACCATTCAAAAGAAAAACAAATGAGAAAAAAAACTACGAACAACGTGGAAAGGCCAAACAATCAATCCTCAATATACTAGGAACTAAAATAGAAGATCACTGTACAAAATAATCAAGTAGAAATTGATAAACGAAGTAAGCAATTACAATTTTGTACAAGTGAGAGGTCTTAGAAAATTCATTACACCACCCAACCAATCCGTCACTGCGAATCTGTCACAAGAGGACAACAGACCTTATAGAAAAACGGTTCTTGGTTGCATTTAACCCACGTAATACAAAGCTCATGCCAGTCACATATGCATATCAACAAAAAGACCTTTCATAAGAACCTCAAAACCGTATCGCAAATAAAAGAAATGAGGATTTATATACATTGAATTTAGCACAATATTATTTTTTTTTTGCACAATTTATTAATTTTGTGGCTTAAGCCTCCTTACACGAACAAAAATTGCAATTATACAATTTTAAATATTGGTCACTAGTATTGAATTGTGATACTAGAGTTCTATTTATTAGACCTCCGACTCCTAAGACATTGAAAAATATAAGGCTTGAAAGGACTTCTGTAAACATAAAATTTTATATCTCATTTGGGTGGGTTTTGTTTGACTATGTTAGTTGAACTTGACACCTTAATTATATTAAGGGAATTTTAACTATTGTTAGAGGCAAGTTTTTAAAGCTTAGTTTTGGTTTCGTTTACTTTTTTATTTTAATTTTTGATGATTTCAATAAGTTTACTACATTCCGTGTTCACTTTTCGTTCGAATTCTTTTTGTATTTTTGTGACTAAATTAATAGTATTCAATATGTTAGTTTAAAAATATATTTTAAATGAAGTTTTTTTAATATAATAAATTAATAGTAAATAGAAGAATTAGAATTATATATATCTATATATATCTATATATATATATATAGAAGTCATGCATAATAGAATAAGTTGTCAGCATTATTCTATTCTACTAGCAGCTATTGAATAGTTTTTTTGTTCTCTAGAGTTGTAATTGATTGACCCTCGGAAAGTTTGTTGATTATTTAATTATCAAATAATCTATCATCAGCTTTAATCTTATTCACCTGTCAATTTGTCGTGGAATAGGAGAAATATTTTTACCCTGCTTTTATTGTGGATTTTATAGCTCTATAGGGGTAAAATTTAGCCAGAAGGACCTAGCATCGCTTGAAAGGCCAGCAAATTTTTTTGTCCAAGTCCTATAGAACAATGACATATTCCAAAAATCGTATAGAACAACGACATTCCAAAATATCAGGGAAAGCCAGAGAAAGAGGAGCTTTTCTAACAAATCTTAGCTGAAACTGACCTGATCGATTTCTGGCCCTACTGATATAAACTACGTGGTATAATTAAGATTGACTATTTACCTCGTTTTTCTGCTGTTGCTCTTATTCAATTCATATAGGTCATTTATAATCTGTTTTCCATTTCTATTTTTAGAACAACAGCAACGATTTAATAGAATTTCATCATTAATACATTTAGTGAACTCCGTTGGACTCTCGGAATGTATTAAAGTTATTCACTATCTCATACGTTTGTGGAAGAATAACATGTATAATCTCTGCTGTAAATAGGAGAAATACTGGGAAGATCATCCGGGGGAAGCAGTGCCATTAATGAGGCCAAAGTTCTATTGGGGTCCTTGGAGAGTCTATAACGGGGATACTCTCCCACCCATGAAGTAATTCTCCATGGGTCTCGCTAGAGAGAGACGAGCATTGAATTCATGTTCTTGGTTACCAGAATGCAGAACAACAATGAAGCAATTTTCCTAAGGCCACTTCTATCTGACACTCTTCTTGCGCACTGGTTTCTGTCTGGTTTGTATATTTATTTGAATGTATGCTAAAATCTTCAATCAATAGGAGTATCATATAAACTTTTTTTGTGTATTAGACCTCTAGGCTATTGTTTAAGCTCTTGTAATTGGACCTTTGGTTTCATTTGCCTGAGAAAATTGTGCCTTCAATATATTGATCATATTTTATTACCCCACTCAATTATCTTCCATATAAAATATAATATCTATTTATAAAAATGATCCACATTGTTCTATATCGATTCTCTATTTCCTTAAAGAATTAAATAGATAAAAGTAGAAATTGAAGATATACTTGCAATGAGTATAAAAAAATAATTTGTGAAAAAAAAAATCAAGCAAATATTTATCATAATATAGATAATCACTTTTCTATCCACATGAAAGAAAAAAAAATCTAATCTAAGCAAATATTTATCATAAAACTAAAAAGATTAGCACAAAACGAATGATTGACTTGAAAAGAAATTTTTTACTTAATATCGAGGAAGGCTAAGCCAAGTAATTAGTGGATATTTGTAGAAGGATAAAAAATATATATGTGATACAAGTTTTAAAAAATCATTAAAATTCTCTAGCAAGAAAATGAGTCTCTCAACTCATCTTTGCATGCTTGTAAATTAATCCTCATTAAAAACTACTATCTAATTTATAAAGGATGGTGAAATTAATTTTAATCATGATTTTATTGGTTATACGACGATAAAATCATAGTATGACAATGCTCATCATCAATGTTGCTCGGATATCAAATATGGTGGTGGTAGGTAATTTTTTGGTGAGACTAAAGACTATAAAAAACCATGAATCCTTCGCTTAATATTTTAAAAAATGTTTTGGACTTTTTTGGGGGAGTAATGAGAGGTTGGAGGGGTTATATTGGCAGAAATGTTAAGACTAGTCCAAATTGAATTAGTTTTGCCAGATTCGGAAGATCACTTTTGTTAGGATTTAAGGCCTTTATTAGCTTAGCCTAACCTATGCTAATCTAAATATTGCAATCACTATACTATTCTAGACCCTTAAAAATTTAACTAAAAACTCCAAATCTCATCTTTAGATGTTAAATTAAAGATTTAATGCCTATATTAGTTTTTAAACTCACCATAAGACCACCCACCGCCATCATGTGTTTTTCTAGGAAAACTCCTAGTTAAACTAGTAGCATATGTTTCTATAGATTTCAAATTAATTTGTACTTTAAGCGGGATAGCTCAAATCAAAAAGTATTTTTTTAAATTTCAATGGAGGAATAATAAATTGAATTGGATATTGAGAGTCACAATAACATTTTTAACTATCAAATGGTTGGAATTTACACTTTTAAATTGTGGTCTATTTTATTATGTTATTTATATTTTCATAATTTACGACTTATGATTCTATCATATAAGTTTGAGAAAAGAAATCCAAGAGATAATGATTTATTTTATAAGAGAACGGAGAGAATATCCCAAATCGTGTATTAAAATGACAAATAATATTGTGGTAGCAACTCAATTTTTGTTTTTTAGTAATATACAAGGGACTTTTAAATTTTAAATCCATTAGAAGATGAAATAAGAACTTTACTCATCTCCTAGCCCTACCTGAAGAGGGCAGCCAACTAAAACCATGTAAGCATCTCAACCCATAAGATTGGATCACATGCAATACAAGATGGATAAGGTTATTATTTGATTAGGAACATTTATGGGTCATACAACTCAACAATATAAGTCATGACATTCGACTATTATTAGTATGCAATGCTTCAAACTAATATATTAGTTTTTATTTCATTATTTTCCTTGAATTAGATGCAACACAAACATGAAATGCATTTGGAAAAGTATTAATATTTAAGCTTATAAAATATGATATGACATTTTCTAAATAGTGACTCTCAGCCTCATATTTTGGATGGTCCTTATGTATGTATTGGAAAGGCATATAAAGAAAAGAAGTGAAGAAAATATGAATGAACCTGGTTATTTTCCTTAAATTGGATGCAACACAACATGAAATGCAAATGGAAGAGTTTTAATATCAAATTTTAAGCTTACAAAATATGATACAATATTTTTTGAATAGTGGCTGTCATCCTTATATTTTGGATGGGCCTTATGCATGTACTGAAAGACATATAAATAAAAGAAGTGGAGATGTATGAAAAACCAGGTGAGTTATCGTAGAAAATTTTAATTAATTTTAATTTTAATTATTTTATTTAGTTTTTTATTTAATTTTTAAAAAATTGTTTCCTAGGTGCTCATCACATAACACATCCACGCTATACACAAACAAGATAAAGAACCCTAAGCAAAGTAAGCATTTCTAGTATGTGAATAAGTAAGCATACTTAATAAACTAATAAGATTATAATAATAAATAAAGGTTGGTCTGGTTGGGTATCAATATATACCCTAGAAGAAAAGCAGAATGGATAGCTGAGCATTCCCCATAATTAAGCCAAATTCTATTATTTTTAAGCAGTGAGTTCTAATTTGCATGGTTTATCATAATTCATATTTATCCCCACAGACCCTCTACATAATCTTTTTTTAATTTTAAAATTATAAATTTTATATAAAGGCCTCTCATAAAATATGTGTTAGTGGAGTAGTTTGAAAGGTACAATTCATTCATCATACATAATGACACTTGCAAACTACCTACTATACTGGTTGTGCTTAAGAGCATTAACATAATTGTCGTCACTATTTTAGTTGAGGAGTTGCTCGTTGGAAGTTGTCGATCACCTGAATCGAAATCTCGTCGTCTGCGTCAAAAGGACATTTTAATTTATATATATATATA